AATTCGTCAACTCACCATTTTGGGTAAAATCCACGGTCACCGTCAGAAGTGAGCTATTGTTACCCCTAAATATGCTGCCACCTTCTACGTTAGATCGTATAGGGAATTTTGCCCGAAAAACTCGCAAATTTGAAGTTTCGTTTATTTTCATGTCAGCTGCAAAATTAAATAGTAGCATGGGCTCAGAGAAAGCGCTTCAAAATATCGCAAATCTGAATGAGGTCTTCAATAAACAGTAAAACCTCAGTTACCAAAATATTTGAAAATGGTTTTATCAACTTTCACTGCCCATCTGAGTAGGCTGTGCAGCACCCTTATCAAAGCCACAAATACAAACAATGTTTTCTTAATTTTGATTCTGTTGTGCTCACTGCAAATGTCGGTGACATTCCACTCGAGTTTAACTCCTCTCCATACACAGGCCAGCTGTCCGTTCGCACCAAGCAGAGTCTATTTGAAATACTTATGCACCATTTAAAATCTTAATCACCGTAGTATGCTCATTAAATTCCAGTTTATACAAATATTCTGCAATAATTACGTGCATAAAGGTAAATAATCATTGAAGAATTTGATTTACCCATCCATTGCTACCTGCTCCACCAATTGCAAAATTAATTTGATGGGACTCTTGGCCCTTGACAAAGCGTGAGAGTGGAAACCACGTCTGCACATCGAATTCATCTGTTATTTGAAACTTTGAAACTCGTGTTAAGACAGCTAAAGATGTTCACTTCGATACCTTCTGCAGGTGGTGACAAATTACAGTATGGTAGGAATAGTGTAGTTGAAAGAGGAGTGTCAAATTCCTGACCCTCGAAAACATCGAGCCTCTTCTGCAAAGTTACTTCATCTACGGTGATGTAAACAGTCTATAATTGAAAAAGTATGAGGAATGTGAATGACATTCGAAAGATGATTCACTTGCAGAAGGGTATTCAATTGTTATTTCTCCTGTTTATCCGGGCTTTCCTTTAAATACGTTACAAATCATTTAAATTTTGCATTGTTTTTGAGCGGAACAGTTTATATCAGGGGTTAAGCTGACAATGGGTAGAAGAGATTCCATTCAAAGTCAAGTAACGTGCGAAATAATCCATATCATGTGTAGCATGGGTAGAATATAAGTTAAGTGGACGAGTCCCACTTTTCTGTAATGAGTGGAAATGAAGATAACATATGTCAAATCATTAGGAGACTGCTTAAAATGTGCAGGAATAAGTGAAATGAGACATGCTTTTCTCCTCTCTGCATAGACTGCCCCAAACTGTATTATTGACCATGCATTTGTCATCTTCAATCGTCAAGTTACCCGTTGATTCTTTGCTAGTATCGACTGCTGCCCAAATGCAATTACCATTCAATCTGTTTATATTAGCCCAAGTACCCAACTGTAATCAGGAGGTATATTCTGCTAAGTGAATTACTCTGCTGCGTGTACTTCCTCGTACTTCCTTTTTAAAATTTTTATGCAAACTTCACTGCATTAGTGCACTTACCCATCGTTTCTCAAACCGGAACTGCATCGTTTTCCATTGTCCCTTTGGTATTCCAACAACTCGAGATCCCCACAGCTCTATTTTTTCACCTTTTGCTAAAAATATATCATGTTACTTTTACTAGATTAACAATATTCTAGTACAAAAGGGAGCAATAAAAAAAGGACTGATAATAATCACTAACCGGGAAATACAGTTGAAAAAGCAAATACCTACCCGTGCAGTATGCCATACAGAGCAGAACCGTCATTATCAACAGCATGGTCTCCCTCTATGCTACATGAGTAATACCCATTATGTATTTATATAGATGGCCTAATCATTTGCCAAATTTAATTGGAGGCGTTCTCACGTTTCATTTGCCACAAGTGTGGTTTAGGTTTCTTGTAAGTAGGGGTCAGATTTGCTAGGGATAAAATGCTGAATCTTACGTTGCTGTCATCGTAAAGTAAATGCTACTAGTAGAAGATAAGCACATAGTAGAATAATCTGATGATTGAAACAAGATCTTTTGAACCATGTGACCTTTCATTCACCTTAATATTTACTAACAAAGCTTGGTAATTCACCCACAAAGCTGTAGCATCCATGCATATTTTGCTTCAATTTATTTATTTGTCGTAAGCATTTTAGTCGTCAGTTTAACCACCTCAGCAAAATGTATCATTCAAGACAGCATTCGGTGGTAAAGTCGTATATTGCACTCAAATTTAAGAGGCGAATTTGCTCCTTCAAATTGACTATGCCCACGTCCACTCACCTTGGTGTCAATTGGTCAGCGCAACTATTGTCTCAACGACAAATGCCAATCATTGTTTGCCTTGAGAGTTAAGCAAATCAGTTTTGATTTTGCATAAAAATTATTTCCATGGATGGCGAAAAAGTGGCGTAGCGAGAAATATGAGAGGTAGCAGCCTTGGTTCGGCTGCCCATCATCTCAAAATGGTTTCGTTTCCAGCCTGAACAAACCAACTTTCTACCAGACATCAGCATCCGATGCTTTATGAAAAGCCTGTATCTGGCTGGCAGATTACTCCCCTAAGGCATGACTGAAAGGCTTTGTGCAGGTTTTCTAACTAGTCAAGTGCTGCTATCCAAGTGATAATCTGTGCTCGTTAATATAAATCAAAGAGGTTGTCGCAAGATGTATCCAAATACACTGGCACATCTAATACTTAGATAGGGACACCACATCGTATGCGCGCAGCTCACTTTATCTATCCATCTTTAATGTGTCAATACTTACTCAGTCGTGTTGTTCGACAACTCCTCTACCAAATAATGCGTCCATAATAAAGTCAATCAAACGTCAATCCATAATTCATTTCCACTCCGTCGCAGGAAAGGGGAAGGAGGTGCTTTCACAGCAACAGGCACTGATATTTGTGATTACACGCAGCATATGAACGTTGAGAAACAGCGAGCAATTGATGCATGTCCTTTCATGTTGCAACAATGTGAATCGGTCTTTCTGCATTTCCTGCTCCTCTTTGACCAATTTCAGAAGTTTAATGTAGATATCTCACTAATTCCGACTATTCTTGCCTTACCTTGCAATTACATCGCATATCCACCACATGCAACTCATTTTTGCCTCCATAAGTGCATGGGCAGCTGCGTTTGCCACTTCAATGTGGGTTGAGAGTGGGATAAGTGGGGGCCTGAGCGTAAAATATGGAGTGAGGGAGAGAGCGTGACGCAAGGTGGAGGGAAATCACTAATGCCAGTATCTCCTGGTTAACTGTGATGGAAGCACGTGGGGACGAATAATTAAAGGAAGGAAGGGATATGGTGAGGACTAACGGAGCAGATTTGCAGAAGTTGGAAGTAATGTCACTCACAGTTAATTCGGGAAGGTGGAAGATGAATGATAAGAGGCGGAGGAACAATCAACATCAGTGACCACGCAGCATAGAAACCTCGTATCGCCATGTCTCCATCGAATTGATGCTGCGTCGTGCTGGCTCAGTACCTGAATGGGTGTCGTCTCTGGTACATCCAGGCTTGCTGGCTTACATTATCGCATTTTATTCATCTACACTCCACTTTACTTTCCTCTACTCTGATTATTCATCCATGCACCTCGACACTGATCCATCTCCTTGCTTCCATTCGGTGAAGTTGACTTTAATGTCTACATTCCTCCCCATTTCTCCCCACCTCCCTGGATGGACTGATTCGTTTTAAATATCGTTGTTTCAAGCTGCTCTAATCATGCAGGTATTTGAGACCCTAGCTTTGCTGGTACTTCTGCTTCGTGTATATATTTAGGTTGCACCTTTGTCCGAAAGTGAAGATAACTGCTTGTGAAGTAAGGAGTTCGAATATCCGTTGCCGTGTCTAATAGGTTATTAAACAATTGCTAGGATGATTCCATGTGGATGCACTGAAATAGAGCAAAATAAATATCAGTAATTGCCTATAAAAGCCCATTAATTAGTTGTTTGCATTCTGTGTCTGATCAAATAGACGCTGGATTGACTTACAACTTACGTTGTTTGAGAATATGGTGCAGAATGCGAATATTAGGCTAGGCTATACCAGCTCCTATATTTGCTGAAGAGAAGAACCGGATCAATGGTAGACTTCCAATGTTAGCGTCGTCATCCCTTTCTTAATTAGCCAACTGGGAGTCAGAATCGTTGACAGATCCGGCTTTTGGGGTTACTTGCAAAAGTGAATGCGACTTGACCAAAGCGTTCCTAGTTAGTTCGTTTGGGAGAGCGAATCATTCCAGGGCTGCGCACAGGCCCTGGCGTGCACCATCAAATACTCCACCTCGTACGGTTTCTCAAATTGTCATGCCAACGTGATTGCAATTGCTTGGCTACAAATGCAAATTGATTTCGCTAATGGAAGATTATTGTCTCGAATTATTTTAGAATATGCATTATTTTGACACTGAGAATATATTTCATCACACTTTGCAACTGCATTTACAATTTACTACCAAGCATTTTACTCGCCGAGACATCAATACACATAAACCCAAGCTCACCTAACACCCACGTCTAAAACTTGTTTGGCCTTCTAAGAAATTTCTTATGGCGTGATGGCAGCGTGTGTAAACGTAGAGTGTGTGGCTTCACGCCCACTCTACAAATTTGCTTGGTGGATATCAGCAAGCAATTCTTTTAGTGGGCATGCTTGGCAGTGTGTTTCGGTGAAATTTCCTTCTCTCTATGCAAGCACACATCATTCGCCAGGATGGTGCTTCGCTATCTCTTAACGAAGGTCCCATTCCTCGAGCATGCAGCAAATGTATTGAAACTCAGTAAGGATGGCTGGCATTTGGCTTGCACACTAGCGCATTCGTTGTTGGTGGAGTTGTCCTGCAACACGAATGTCTGGACATTGGCATGGTCGAAGAGATGCAGAAATTACACTTCGGAAGTAGGACTGCTACCCCAACGTTGAGGTAGATGGAGAAATGAATGCATGGCTGCACCTGAAAAACCGGTCAGCAGATAATATTTGTGGTGCAATGGATTGATGATCCCTGTTGGGTAGTTTGAAAACAGAATAAATAAGTGGATTGATGCACGGATGTGGGGAAACGGAAGCAAAAGATGCTTGGTTCGGCAAAGAGATGAAAGAAGAAACTGACTAGTTCACAGTAGGGGCTAGATTGGTGTGTGCTAGAATGAAAAGACCAGTCAGTTCTCTTTTTTCATTCACTGAGTTGTATGTAAGGTGTCGAAGTAAAGTGTGAGAAGTATTTCATTTGAGCTGTCGTGGTTGTCCAAGTGAGCGGCAGGAGAAGAGTCACTGAATACTTGCCCCACTTCACCTCATATGGGTGAACCCATCTCGAGGTTAACGAATGCCCACCACAAATGAGTTAATAAAACGGACATGTCAAATGTGACATACACCTATCATTATCTGAGCTTACGAAATAGATGAATGGCAACTGATGCATTGCCTGCATTACGTAAGCCTGCCCATGCACTTATGGAAGCAAATACGAGTTGCATGTGGTAGATATGAGATGCAATTGCAAAATAAGTCAAAAATAGTCGGAATTAGTGAGATACCTACATTCAGATGTTCGAACGTGGATAAGGAGGAGGCAAATAATAGCACATGTAAATTGTACTTCATCAGCTAATGTTTGGTGAATTTTCACACTATTTTACGTGTAGAGTGGACGTAGGCCGCACACTCTACGTTTGCTCACGCTGCCACCATGGCATAGGAAATCTCTTAGAAGGTCATACAACTTGTGGACGTGGGCGTTAAGTAAACTTGGGTTTATGTGTCTTGATATCTCGGCGAGTAAAATGGTTGGTAGTAAAATGAAAATGAAGCAGCAGAATGTGTGAAGCACATTCTCTGTGCCATAATTTTACATATCCTAATATAAGTGGGAACAATTATCTCACACAAGCAAAATCAATTTGCATAACTGTAAAGGTGAATAAGATTTGCATTTGTCGTTGAGAGAATTGTCGCCCTGACCACTCGACGCCAAGGTGAGTGGACATGGACGCAGTCAAATCGAGGAAGCAAATTTGCCTCTTTGATCTGAGTGCATCACATGACTTCACCCTCCGTCACAGCTTTAAATTATGCATTTTGCTGAAGTAGCTGTCCTGCCGACTATAATCCTCAAAACGAATTCATGTAATGAAGACAAATGTAAATAGTTGATACAGCAATGAGCCGTGAAAAATCAGGTTTGTCGGGGAGCGCAAAAGGAAGTAGAAAGCACTTGATTCACGATAACTCGTTTCTATCATTAATTCCTTCTACCACTTGCTTCATCTTTGTTTTTATTATTTGTGAGTCCACCACATGATATGCCCAGCCACACTTACATTGCAGTGACGACACTGTACCATTCGCTGCTTTCTCTTGTGCAACTCCAGCCTCTGTCTACAGGAAAGCAGAGTCGCATTTGTGCAAAATGAAGCGTGAGCAGGACTCCAATCAAATTTGCCGGATGGAAAGGAGATTTGTATATATGCACAACAGGCACCTCTCTAGCCACGGAGAGAGAGATCATGTTGACGGTAATCGCGATTCTGCTCTGTGTGGCTTACTGCACGCGTATGTATTTACTTCGTCACACTCATTTGCCGATCATTTGTTGCTTTCATTTGTTCTGCATTAATTGTTATTGTTTGGTAGTGCATTATTAATAAGGTAGCAGTCACATAGCGTACTTTTCACCGCAGACGAACAAAGCCTACAGCTGTGGGGATCACGAGTCATTGGAAGGCCGATGGGAAGGTCGGATGTCATGAACTATCGGATCCCTACATTCTATGTAAGTGCATTAATGCAATATCATTTCTGAAAACAATTGCACCAATTTTTTTACCTGAAAGATTAGCCCATTTATTTGATTATTCTTTCTGATTGCACCCAAGTACTCACAGTTACCAAGAGCAAAGATTTGACGAAAAATACTTGACTACACAATAATTGGATTTAGAGTATACGTGTTTCCACTGCAAAAGGGGCTGAAGACATGTCGTTTATGGACGGCAATTGCATAGTCAATGGCACAGTTTGGGGCAGTCCTTGCACAATGAGTAATGGTATGTCTGTTTGCATTCATTTATGTGCATTCTAAGAACTATTTTACTGATTCGAAATAAGTACTCATTAAGTTCTTTGAAAATACATAAACAGGATTTGTCTGCTAGACTTTCAATTTAACTAAGCCAATAGTAATGCGAATGATTTTGCGCGTTATTGAAGCCAAATGGAAATCCGCTCTTGTCGCTGACAGTAGAATTGCTGGTGTGAAAATCCTGGTTAATTTAAAACCACTTTATACCTGAGCGAAGTGCCAATGCGCTGAGTCTCGCGTGGGTCTAAAGAAAATCCACAATGACCAGATGGCCTAAAACCGAATCATTTGTGCAGATAATTCACCCACTAACTTTTGACTTTTTATCTCCTCTTTCCTTTTCAACATTAGGTACAGCCACAATCACCGTGGATGACGTGAATCGACAAAAGAGTATTGATATTTATCAAGATGTGAGATATGACTCCCTATTTTTAACAGCCTTCTTCGTCCCATACTGCAATTTCTCACAACCTGGGAAAGGTATCAAAGTGATTAAACTCGATTAACTCCAAATCACTTTTCAAAGGCTTGATGTCGTGACATGTTTTTAATGACAGATGAAGTTGATCTGAGGATGTCGTTCCCCCTCTCACGCTTTGTCAAAGGCCAAAAGTCCTTTCAACTCGATTTTGCCGTTGGAGGAGCAGAAAGCAACGAAGATGTAAATCAAATTCCCCAATTACTTCCTTGCTACCTACACGCTTAATCGTATTAAAAATTTGTTAAAGTGCCCGAAATTTTACAAACACAATTTCAAATGATTGCGATTTGTTCTAATGTCACATGACTATTTTGAATAGGTTGCACTTCAGAGTGGGTCAAAAGTGATCTGCGAATGGAGAGGAGCTAACTTCACAAACACGGAATATCATAGGACCGTTTGCAGTAGGTTCAACATGTCTAAAATTTGCAAGGCGTGTTATATATTTTTGGATCTTGTAAGTGTGCATTCCAGGCAACTCAAAAGAGCACAATAAATAATAAAACTACATTAATCACACAAATAGGACTTTAAACTCTCTTTCTTCCATTTAATTTTGCAGCCGATTTAGTGAAAAATACAAGTTCAAATCTGCGGATTTTCCGCGGAACATTTTCTATTCCACCTGGAGTGGAGTATGAAACATTTAGTTGGGTTACTACTACTTCGGGTTTGTCAGTGTCCGTGGATTATACCCAAAATGGTGAGTGGGGAAATTACGAAATTGTAGTTATATCAGTTGTAATCAGAAATATGGATCAGCCATTCTGTCTTGGTTGAAACCTATATGAAAGCTACAAACGTTGTCTGGTCCCGTTGAATGCACTAAATGAGGCTAGAACCAGTAGACAGCTTTTGTCTCCATACATTAAGAAATGTAACTTCGGCTTCAGGCACGTCACCGGAAGTGGCGGAATGCAATCGTAAGTTCTGCCGTAACACGATTTCTCCCAAACGACCCCTTCGCCACCGGCGGCCTTTCATGCTCTTGATAAGTTCCACTTAAGCCTGCTTTTGCACAAGTGTTTTAGTTGTCTTTGTAAATATTATCTTTTAGAATACTGGGAGGCGCAGAGTACGTTACAACCCTTTGGTAAAGCATGCACGCAAGTAATAAAGATGAGCGAAGCTGCTCTAATTGAGTGTTCATCATGGCTTGACTTGATGAACGTAAATTAGGCTTCACTGTTTCAAAAAGATTTGCTGTAATGATACGCATTTTTGTATGTAAGCAAATGTAGCTGGCCCAGCACCTAAACGCTGTGTTTTCTTGTAGCATCATCAGGAACAACATTTTCGGGTGAGTGCATAATTCACTAAATTTGCCGGCACTACCTATCAAATAACATGCTTCGACTGTGTGCCCAAATTGCGAAGGTGTAAATATTTCCGTGTCAGTTGCATTGATGCCCCAAGTTTTTGCCCATTCCGAAAACAATTTACCGTAAATAACAAGAGCGCCGCTTAGTAAGTTGGTCGAACAACTACAAAGTTGGCAAGTTAAAACTTGGATGTGGGCATCTAAATAGATGGTTTACTGCTACTGTTGTCTCATTTGCCCTACGTTCATCACACAGGACCTGTGCTGACCCACACCGTCGGAGGTAAGCTAAGACATGCACGGCCAATGACCTGAAAACACTCAACTCTCCCGCATGGCTCATTACACAGTCCACGAAAGTGCACATTTCCTATCATGCACTCGCTTGCATTAAATACATTTGTTCTCCAAGACTATCAATGCGGCAGAAGAAAACAGGCTTGCATGTAACCGGCAAAGCTTTGTGAGATTTGGTGTGAATACTTCTACCAGTCTAGCAATACTCTGCTCAAAACTCCTTTTATATCTTGCCCACTTCAAGTTCCAGGCACAAAATACTGAGCTGAGATGCTGTATTGTCGAGGTAGATGGAGCTCTGTGCTGAAATGCCCACTTTCGCGTTTCAGGCCTGCTCGGGTCAGTGCTTGTGCTGACGTTTGTGGGGATGTAGCAACGCGGTGGACAAATGAAGTGCACCCTTCGGTACTACATGCAACCGAAGGTTCTGCTCTCGCCTAACAAACTTGCCCACTTTCTTCCTCACCAGTACACATTTTTCCCTCTTCACTTTTCATATATTTATGCGCACTCCCTCCTTTGCTGAATAAAGTGCACTTTTATTCTTAGGGCATTTTCAATTCCTTAAAATCTGTCTTCTCTGGGCTCCTAAAATGTTTATTTACCCACACTGGTAGGAGTTAATTCACACACGTTTTGCATCGTGGTCCCTCATCACCTTTGCTTACGTAGGGTGCCCTTTTTTGTAGGTCAAGTGCGAGTGAATTCCGGTCAATCTGCTTGGATAAAAAGCCCTTGTTATACCCACAAATAATTCTCATTTAAATAATTACTTGAGAGCTATTATAGGCAAGCAATGACATTTGGTTGTTGAAGCGATGTGGAAAACGGATGATAATTCAAATTTCAGGTAGCAATGCCGTCATTTAGAGATCACTTAGGCCAGCTTTGGTGCGGGGGCAAATTCAAAGAAATACTGGTATGCTCCAGTGATGCTGGCGTTTGTCATGTCATGCATTAAAATATTTTGTGTCCAACCCTCAATTCACCGCGTGCTATTTAAACGAGTTTGTTGGCTTGAATTAGCGGGTGTCTCACAACAGGCCACTGAATTGTCTGTGTGGTTAATGCGTGTTTGATTTGCTTATTATTTGAAATTTGTGGCATTAAGCATGACAGGATATATGAGTAGATGGATTGATAAGTGGATAGATACAAGAGAGATAATTTGCGGAAGCAACAAATGGGAAACTAGCCAATCGCGATGCCGCTGTGCTTATCACCATGATGCCTCTGAGTCACAACTCATTAGATGCACTGAAAACTGTCAGCCACTATGCTATGCTACATCGGCGAATTTTTTGGATTTAATGCAGCCTTCAATGTTCTCACTATGTCATACGCTTAATCCTGACCATTGTGATAATTTAAGTCCCCAGTTTAGTTCATTGAGACATTGAGCCAATGTTTTGTCCATGGCTGAAGATCTGATGTCTGAGCCAACAAGTCCCACAGTAGTGTTTATGCAATATTTTTTTCTTCGGTTAGTGTGGCGCGTCAATAGCTTGTGATGATTGCCATTTGCAACTAGAGGGCAGGTCCTACTCACCGCAGATAATAGCCCTCGCCCCCAATCCCTCCGCTGTTTTCGCCATGTGCAGATTTCTGTGAGAAATTACTTTGACTTGGAAATACGCCTTAAAACAACTAGAGCCATTTTGTCTATTGCTGTCTAAATTGGGCTAACTTCCCTCATAATTGTGTGTTTTAATAGTGGATTAACAATCTTCTGTGTGCCAACTGTGTAACCTACTTTTATTTTGAATCGCAATAACTGTTACTAGATTACTTAAATATTAATTTATTTTCGTTTTAGCACATAATTTTTTAAGGCACTGACGACTTGTATGCACCAAAGGGCAGCTATTTTAGGGATTCCTTCTCTCCGTTATCCTTGCACATTTTGTGTGAATTCCCTAGTTTTGAGTTCTGTAAGAAGAGTCGTAATAAATTGCAAATAAGGTAAAAGTTTGCTCGTTCTTTTTACCTCTATGCTTTTCAAGTGTATTTTGAGGTACTTGCAATGCTAAAGAAGGAAGAAAAGTTGGTCGGTGGACAAGAAAATAGGTATACGCAAATAAAAACAAAGATGTTTAATTCCACCATCCTTCTCATTCATTGGTGGAATCGTAACTACATCAGCACCAGTATTGACTCGAGCACAAATACAATACGAAATGAAAGAAGCTAAAGCAAAATATAAATGACGCCTGAAACGAAACCTCTTTGGTCATTTTTAATGTTTTGACTTGAGAGGATGGGGGTTATGGGAGTGCTGTCACATCTGGGAAGAAGATGTGAAAATAGAAGCCGTGGTAACTTGTTTTTACGATTCTTGAATATAGTATAGCCGTCTTAGAATCATGAGTATGGAGAAAAGTGTGCTGTAGGGCTAAGGGAATCTATTTATCTCACCTCCAATAGCGTAGACCAGCGCAGGTCCTCTGCGATGGAAATAGGTTAAGCAGTCATTTCGCACAATGGTTGATTAATTACGCTCGAATGTGCCCACTTACAATGTAACCAGTAGGCTAAACTATTGAATGCAAAACTCCTAATCCCCCCAATTTTAAAATGATTTACGAGTAAGTGCCTTGCAGGAAACTGCTATACAAATTGGCGGATCATGTGAGTTAAAAAGAGGAATTGAAGTTGAGCTGCTTTTAGATGCTCACTTGATTGGTGACTTTAACAGGAGTAAACTGAAACTGCCTCATAGGAGAAAAGGCTATCATTTTCACATGCGCAAGAAATTGTAGAAAAACTCTTAGTGACAACCCACGTTCAGATGCGACTGTCACTGATGAACCTAAATGATGACGACTGGTACATAATTGATAAAGTGTTCTTAAACATATTTGATTTTGTTTCCTCTACAACTTTATCAGCCGTCTTTGGGAGAGCCATAATAGCAGTGAAATGCATTGGAGTGCTGATGGCCTTGACTGGTAAGTCAAGCAGATCCATCTCCGTCTAAAAAGTTAGGAAAACCCCATCTGCTTTGCTTTTACCTCTACTTCAGTCCAAGTAAAACAAACTGCCATTCATACCGTTAATCATTAGTGAGCATCAAAGTTTAAGTCTACAATTGGTGAAAGTACTGTTACAATTTTGCCAATTAGCAAGATTTAACCCCTTTCAAAACTGGAAAAGTCACTACATCCAAAACCGTTTTACTTTGATCCACAGAGGATTAACAATTTCAACTTAGTAAGATTCAAGTACTGACTCCTCTATCTACATATATATATGCTATAAAACCTGTCTGATTATAATCACCCATCTTCCCGTTATTTCACACATACTTTTCAATCTCAGCTTACCTCCTTCTTCTGATGCACACTTCACAGACTACATCAAGATACCCTGAAGCGCGATTGCATGTGGTTGCGCAAACGCCTTTAACCATGTGAGCATACTTGAGTGAATTTAAGTGGCCTTAGTGGTTTGCAGAAGCACCAAGTCGGTCTAATCTCTGAAATGAAATGGCACCTACGGCTAGACTGCTGATAATATTGGTGATACGCAAATGCCTCAACGCATGGCAATCACTTAGTCCTTCATTAAATTTTCACTTTTCTCCGGTTACTCATGCTACTAAACGTTGTGTGGATCAACAATGGTTTCATTTCAAAGAAATCCATAAGCGCAGGCCACAATCATGGGAGCATTTACACTTGTTTGTGGTGAATACACTAAATTGCGTATAAAGGAGACCACTTGGATGTGTCCACGTAGCTTCCCCGCAAGTGTGTATGTGCAAAACTGGTATGGGCATACTATAGGCACCAAACTTACACCCACGTATTCTGGCTAAACCATGGTTTAGGCTAATGTGACATCAAAGCTCTTCCATTCCCAGCTTTAATAGAGCATACAAATTCATTCAAGACATTTCGCTAGTCATAAAGGAGTACTATGATGCGATTTACCACCACCCTCTAATTTATCGTCTATTTTTGCTTACGTACCCATCCCTCCATTTGGACCTTATTTCTTGTTTATTATGCTTTTTTTCTTACAAAATGCCGTTGGTGTGGCTATGTGGCAAATGCGTGTCTGCTTTATGGATGTGCAAATGGATGGATGCCATGTCAGTTGCCATGAAGTCCTTGAGCCAAGGTTATTAAGCAATGCCAAACTTTGTCATCCGAAAAATGAGATAATATGATAACCTTATTAGAGATTTAATACAACTTTAAATACGTTGTACTGCATTACACGCCCAACCTTGACGCTTATAAACCTTTAATGCCCAATTTTAATTTATAAGTAGGTCAAATTTATGGGCAGCGCACCGCATGCTCCTTTAAACGCTTGACACATGACCGAAGATTGGATACGTGGAAATAGCAAGTCTTGTAACAAGTTTTTTTGCAAAATATAGGTAAATTTTTTGTGACGATTCCATTTACTACTCAAGGGCGGGTCCCACTCACCGCATGCGCCAGTGCTCATCATCAATCCCTATGTCAATTCCAGTTTCAAAGTACTTTCGTAAGGTATTACTTTGACTCTCAAATAGAACACAAAAAAATCAAGGACTTCTAATTTCTTTTAATTTAAATTGTGTTAAACACATAGTTTATTAGTCAGTTAATAATTATTAGGTGTCGGATGCGTCAGCTACTTTTGTCATATTCCTAAATTAAAGAGTTAATTTTAATACGAGATTTTCAAGCTATCGTTTTTTTTACAGACATCAGGGTGCCCGTAGTTGAGACGATTCCTCCTGTCCATACTTGCTCTCAAGGTGAGAGGTTATACGTAGTTTGGTAGACAGCTAAAGGTAAAAAATTGAAATAACCTTGTCACTGAGTTAAAGTCTTCATTGGCTGCCGATGTTTGATTCACAATGCGGGGATTAGGTAATAACTATCCTGACGATATATATCACCAACATGGTAGAGTGGTAGGACTTAGGCGGGCCTTTTATCACCACTGCCTGGGCTGTGCGATCCATGTGGAAGGCGTCGGAGAGGTGGACTTGTGTGGCGCTCGTGAAACAAGGCCCTAGCCAGTTTGTAATACCTTTGTCCTCATTTTTTTAGGATTTTAACATAAATCAAATGTGATTTTGATGTCATTGTCCGTATGACACGCTACTTAGCTTTGTAGTGCATGTATTTTTTTTATTTTGTATACCGATGAAGCGCACCAAGAATAAGATCATTATTTGACTGCTATTGAAGGCCCATAAGTTGTGAACAGAAGCTCGACATATAGTTATGCCTTAGGGGTTGGGTGACACGACACCTTGACCGTTGTTGTGATTCATCTACTTCCGTCTCAATCACGTGGTGATCAAACACTGCGCTGTCCTGTCCTGTTGAGGCGGCTCCATGTTGGTTGGGAATGTCAAAATTTGAAATCACATCATACGACTTCTTTTTAATCCCTCTAAGGCAGTCAAAAATGTCGCCATTCCGCGCAACTGATCACAACACAATTTCTACTTGCACTGACTTCACTGTGGCACCCAACTTTAAGCCATAAATTAGATGAAATCTGACACCTGCTCCACCTCTCTGGATAAATGTGTGCATTGGTACCACAGTGATGCTGGTGCAAGTTGGAAGCGTGTTTTTATCAAGTGCGTGGAATGGTGACATATCCGGTTGAGAGATTGAATGCGAGTTTAGTCTAATGCAGGCAGAAAGAATAAATTAATGGGAAGGAGGAGTTTATTTTAAGAAAGTTTTATTGGGCCACAGCTTAGTTAAACGTGTGATCCTTCCAGCTAGAAGAGCAGTTTAGGTTACTCCGCAGTGTCTTCAGTTGAAGCCTTTGAAGCGACTGCTCTGCAAGATGCTGTGCATAATCATGGATGAGTGGGGAACAGCAGTAAGGAGAGATATCGAACTGACCATTAAGCACCTTTCCGTGTGATCCGTTTCCGGTTTTGGGCATTTCCCTGGCAGTACGTGTTAAGTGTTCTGTAGGTGTGCAAACCAATGCTGAGGCAAACCTGCCAATTCGACAAATTATTGACTACTGAATTTATTCAGTAGTGTAAAAAAGACGAAGTAAAAAAGGCTCTGAATCTTTGCTGCATTCAGGGGTCCATTCTCGGATTTTGAGAATGGATACCCTCAAAATTGGAAATGCCCGCCCAAATACTTTGAAATCCTTAATTTGACTTACTAAGAGAATGGTCAAAACATTTTTAGAATAATATTTAGAATAAGGGAAAGTCTTTCCCATTATCTGCTTGAATGAATGACTTGGCTAAATGAGTTTGCCATGGCAACAACCTGCTAAAAAACCCATTAACTTTTTGCTACAAGAAGAATGATGAATCCTTTTAATTCCTACAAAATCGAGACACCGGAATGATGGAGAATTTGGAGAAATTTACCCAAATCATCGTAAATTACAAAGCATTACCATCTCTTTTTCACAAAAAAGAAGGCCTGAAAATACAATCAACTTCTGATAATAAATGATGTTTAATTGTACACAATTTTGACGCGTATCAATGACTGTTGCTGGTGCTATGCAGGAAAAAATTAACCTCTGCGGGACGGGAATGAAGAGCCAATCGACTAGCAGCCGTCTTGGACGCCATCACAGAGGGAAACATGCTCGGGACTCGGTGAGTCAGACCCCAACTCTACTTTGCGCCCTTTTTGCGTACCTCCGCGAAGCCTTTCAGTAAATATGTTGAAGGCAAATCAGTTGATGGCAGGAGGCCAGAAGCAGAGTTTTTAAATCATTCAAGATAAACTCTTGACCTCAAAAGGTCTATGTACACTAGGGACTATTTTAGTCAATTCACTCACTTTCATAGTAAACAGTCTTGAAGGAGACAGGGTGGGGTAGAATAAGACTGTTGAAGCGTTCGGCAAATTCGATTGTCTTGTCGGCGTCGAAGTCTAAGGAGGCTGTCCAGATCTCCACCACGACGCTGGTGGGCCGTGGTGAGACGCCGACGCCGAGGATGGAGTTGCGTGAGTCCACCAGTTGACCGAGTTTCTCGCCCACTGCACTCATGGCCAACTCGCACCAAAGGTAGTCCGCGCTCCGAACATCCCCGTGGCGCAGACGCCATCTGCCACCGTTGGAGTACTCTGGTTTCTCCCTGTTTGAAGAGATGGAACCGATGGACAAAAGGATGCATGGATGCAGGACGAGATGACGGATAATTTCGTGTAGTTTAAGCTTATTGAGGATGAATGAATCGACCGGAGACGGCCGATTTCGGGATGATAAGGTGGATAGATCTAGAATGGACTGATTGGTAGAGGCACGCCTCGACTAATTTACTTACTGATTTTTTGGTGAATGAACAGATTAAGCACGAATGCCCCAGCTAGTGTTTAACTCTCTTCGCCCTGAATGTTTAAGAAACATCTTTTTCCCCAATAATTATGTTGACGCCATGTGGTCGACTACACCTCACAGGACGACTCGTTGTAGTCGAGGAAGAGAGTCACCACCAGCACCACCAAGAAAAGAGGGAGAAACAATTTGATAGTTAAGTGACTGATGACCAAATTACTCCAAGATAGACGAACTAATTGTTGAGCGGATGGCTCAATCTTTTCTTCATAGCAAAGTGGTGAATTTGGCATGTTTGAAGCATTCGATGGACGGATTCGGTACATACAGTGTACCAAATTGTAAACAACTCACCATTGCGGATCACAGGGTTCACGCATGAGATAGAAGGCCTCGGTGAACTGAAGTTCACTTGGTTTTTCTGTCTCTTTGAACACTTTCCAGAACTCCTCCACTGTGGAGCACTTTCCAAGGCACCGAATTTGATGGCCTTCATGTTTTGCATTGGGACGACCGCGTTGATCCTGGGGTAATTCATTAACTGAAATAAGTGTGTGAGCATGGCTTGATTGATATTCATCCGAACAATTGCCTTTAGAGTAATTTTAGGTGAATAAAACCACCTTCTCATATATCCTACCACCTCCTGAAATCAATCTCCCCTTATTTTAAACATAAACAACTCATCATAGCACGTTTGGTGCAGTCTTAATAGCAGTGTTTTCTTTACAGAACAGTGAAAGCTACTGAGAATTATTTTCAGGTCAAAAGTTTTCCAGAATGTCTTTATAGATGAAAGTGGGAAAATTTTCAGTTTACTTCGGGCCTGAAGACTATGAAATGAATTGTTCAATATGCTGTAGGTGTTTAGCTGAGCCATTTGTTTAGGGGTTCAATGGAGAAAGTCGAATTCCTTGCGAATCAAATGCGACAGCGCTATAGGAGGCATGAAAAGTGAACAGATTCAAAGCTTGCTTACTTGAAAATCTTTTAACCATTACCAATACTGACATTTCAAAGATACTTGATCAGACAAAACCTGCTCGAACTGGAGCAAAGGAGCTTAATTTTTCGATCAAAACCCTTTTTTGCTATGATCTCCCAAATGCTAATCAGACAATTAGTTCTTCTATTTCTTACCATATCTTGTTCTCTAGGCTAAAATTCTTTGTACCATTGCGCGGTTAAAATGCAGTCAAAATCTAGATATCTGGCATCGAAAATAATCCAGAAAGGCGACTGGAGAACACTGCATTTACAAAGAGGTTGGGATTTACATAATTGCTTTTGGATCTGGAAAGGCCATTTCCTATTTAAGCCGACCTTTCCTAAATTAGTATTATCAAAAACATGCAACTGTAGTGCTATGGTGAAATTCCGTCATTTCCGTGCCTTTCCTGTTAATGGTTTGTTTCCACACCATCCTAGGCATGACATGACTGCCTATGGCATGTTTATTTAACGCTGATTGAACACCACATCCATGTGATAAGGAAAACACGTCAAGCATAAAAACACAAACAGTTTTGGTTCGTTTTTAACCGGTACTTTCAGTTTGGATGAACAAAATCAATCAATTTAAGCGACCACTTTGCTATTAACAGGTGAGACAGCATAATCACAAATAACTACCCCATTATGAAGGCAAGAAATAAATGCATGAAGGCTGAAAATAGGATGCTAGTCTACTTGGCTGAAAAGATCGGCAGTAAGAAAGGTCGTAAGAAACTGTCCACACCGCAGCAAGCACTGATCATTCCCAGACAAAGACGATGGTATATTCTCTTGGAAGGAGTTAAAATATTCAAATAAAAAAAAAGAAATAACACCAGCTCTACAATGACAGGCTATTCACGACCAGTTGAGCCCCATCAACTAGTTGTTTAAACCGCAATCAATAAGTGGGTGGAGCTTACTATAAAATATCCAGCTGGTATGAAGGGGATGCGTTTTCTTGGGTTTTGGCGGTTTTTCGGTGGATTCCAAGGCAAGTGTTGGAGCAGGTGGATCTGCATTCGCCATGATGAGAGGGGAGCTGCAGTTTTAAACGCAGTCGCGCACGCATACAACGAGAGCTGCAACAAAACAGGCTGTAAGTGCGCACGTGTGTGCAGACAGGCCTACCTTCGCTCCTCTCATTGGCCTACATTTATTAATGCGCTAGTGATTGGTGCATTCGGTGCATACACCCGTGCACCGGCATGTGCAAAGTAGCGGATGAGCGCACAATCTGTTCAGACCCAAGGCGAAAACATTTTTAGCCCTGCTTATTTGCCGTAATTATGAATTACCCTCGATATTATGACCAACAAACTTCCTTTTAATTACCACTACTGAATGTATTTTGACTTCTTTTCAGGTGAAATGAGTGACAAATTTGGGCTAATTTTGTCCAAACAGTGCATCAACCAATGATACGCGGAGTGAACACTGATGCCGCTTCTTCACTGGCCCCAATTAGGTCAATAGGAGGAGCGCATAAACAGTTTCAAAACTCATGGAGCTAGTGGGCTTCAAGGTCGACTGCGAGGCACAACTTTTTATAGAGCCACTTCCACTTTCTCAATTTATGTGATTCCTTTACAATAAAAATGATTGATAACACAATTCCGAGCGCCAAAAATTTATTTGCATCTTCGTACATATAATGGGTAGTGGGAAACTATTCTTGTCCCTGTTTCTGGCTGTTTGTTACATAATGGAGCAGGCGCGCCTTTTGGGATGAATTTTGCGGGTCAAAGTCAGTCTGATAGCTGTATCGAAAACGGTTTTTACTCCCTCGCCTGTGATTGCTGAGCATTCAACGTAACCAGCAACTTTTATACGACTCGCCAGTCGATGCCCCTGTTAAATTAGGCGCAAAAGAAATCAAGCTGGAACCATTTCAAACAAATATAGGTCACCTATTACTTTATCCTCGTCAAACAGACTGGTAGCAATGTAGGTATTTTACTTTACTGCAGATGATATTATTTGGTATGTAACCGTAATTACCTTAGATGTGGAGATAATTGGCTGCTCCTGTCCATCGGCACCTCTTTTATCCGTTTTAGTCCCTGCCAGAAGAATCAACGCATTTGGGCAGAAGTGTCGGACCTCTGGAATCCACAATTCTCGTGCATTTTGATAGGAATCGGTGTCATTCACGGCAAAGCAGACAATAAAGATGTCAGTTTGGGGATAGGACAGTTGTCGTAATCGCGCATACTCCTGTTGACCTTTAAGTAGAAGTGATTAGGCGATTGAGAGGCCGGATGTCTTACCAGCTGTGTCCAAGAGATTGAATACAACGGAGGTATTCCCAGCCTTCAGTTTGGAGGTGTAGGTGTCCGCAATAGTTGGTATATAGACATCCATACTGCTTAGATCGTCAAGGATGTAGCGGAGGATGAGGCAGGTCTTACCCACCATTCCGTCTCCTACGACAACACACTTTACAACTTTCTCAGTCATTGAGTGTGTGGATAACTTTGCTCTATCTGTTGTGCCACTTATAAATGTAAAATAGTTGCGATATTTTTAACCGCTTTATGCACCAATAGTCAATCAGATTTGTGTTTGGTTGAAGATGTGATAATCCTTCTTAGGTAGCCTCCAGTCCAGGTGAAATGTAGATGCCATTCAAAATCCATAATGCCAAAGATCCTCTGGTTAACTGATATTTTCAGCTAGGATGGAAATCGTTTTTCCAAGACCTGAAAACCAAATGATAATGACCCAAAGCAATTAAATGCATTTGGAAACTACCGAGTAACACATTTCACGCCATCATTTCTCTATCTTAATTTTTAGTCCTAGAAATTTCCTTTAATATCAGAAACATGCAAAAATCTTTAACTGATCGACTGAATTCCATGGAATAAGGTTATCAAACCAACCCAATAAAGGTGGTTGACAGTACGTGACAAGTGCACACCTTACTTTAGTCCCCAACCCTTACAGTATTCAGTTATCATGTGTTTGCAAATATTTAGTCTGATTGGATTTATTCACTTGGATTTGCAAAATGTAGCGTTAAATTTACACACTATGACGCAGGATGTAGTAGTTCTCTTGAATGCAATTATTCTTTGGCGTTCAAATTCAGACCGAGCCACAGCGGTGTGCTACCAATCATGCTATTTAAGTGGAATACTACATAATTTTGCAAGGGTGCTCTACACCTTTATTAGACCAAATATGTTGAGGCAGTAGCACCAGTGGCGAGATTGACTGGTAAGCACTAAATTATGAAATAAATTATGGACCATTGTAAAAGCAAAATGACTGCTTCTCGAAAATTAACATGTTTGGTGCATGCTTATGTTCATCCGTTTACCTTAATTATACTTCGAATAGCTTGGTGAAGAGGTCTTGCTCACTACTTGACTACTGTGCTTAAAAGTGAATAATGCTATTGAGAGTACTAAGTAAGTATTTGGATGAATTCAAGTCACTTGATTTCTAAGAAAACAAATTAAAGAGGAAAATAAGAAGCAAGTAAGAAAAAATTAGGGATTAAAATGATGCAATACATTTTTTGAATGGTGCCGAGTGGAGAGAACGGAGAAGCCTCATGACTAAGCAGATATCATCGAATCTCATAGGGAAGACGAAATCCAGTTTTCCATGCACTTTGAGTAATCGTAAAATGCACAGTCACTCCAGCACAAGACGTCTACAGCCAAGCGGCCTACGTGATGCAAAGATATGAGGCTAGAGGTGGAAAAGCGAAAAGGTGCGAATTGTTGATCAGTACCGGTGCAATATTGGAAAGATAGATTTAAAAATTTCAGAAAGAGACTTTTGCAAAAAGTGAGCAAAAATGCTAGGAAAAATCAGGGTTTACTTGTCTTCTACAAATATTTGATCAAAACAGAGGCATTTACATAAATTTTTGAATAACTGAAAACGTGCATGCAAAGACTGCATGGATTGAGTTTTCATCTTTTTGCATAGCACTAGCGAAAAATATTCACATAAAGTTCAGATGGGAATTTGTGCAGTTCATCATTAGTTTGCCAATTTTGCAGTTTTCACATTATCCAAGTGTGACAAGTTAACCAGAATTTCAATTTTTTATACTTTTTAACAACAATTAGAAATCGTTATTATGTTTTATGCAAAATTTCACCTAAACTACATTTTTACTAGAGCAAACTAGATGCATTACATTTCCATGGATGGTTTCGTTTTAATTGGTCAATAAGCGATTGGCGGGTTCTGTGGATTGTTCTAGGGCCTGACCTCTTTCGTTAAGGCCTTATTTATTGTACGTCTGCAGTTGTTTCCTTGTCTATTTCGGTCAACATAGTCCTAAGTAGGATAAGATGCAAGCGATTAAATGTGTTGTTGTTGGAGACGGCGCAGTGGGTAAAACCTGCCTGCTTATTAGTTACACTTCCAACGCTTTCCCCGGCGAATATATTCCCACTGTATTTGACAATTATTCAGCCAATGTTATGGTGGACAAGAAGCCTATCAACTTGGCTCTCTGGGATACCGCGGGTTTGTTTTCTGCTTACTTGTTATTGTTTTGGAAATCACCTGTCTTTGTCCGTTTCGTAATCTTCCGGCCTTTATCTACTTCGACTGCATGAACCAATTTCATGCGCTTCACTGATTTATGCCTTGGATAATGTGTATGGCTTGCGCAAAATGCTTTGACACGTTATTTGTGACATGGGTTTTAGCTTTTTTTCAAAATGTTATTAGGTCAGGAAGATTATGACAGGTTGCGACCTCTGTCGTATCCACAGACCGACGTTTTCTTGATCTGCTTTTCCGTGGTCAGTCCAGCGTCGTTTGAAAACGTGCGGGCCAAGTGGGTACCTGAAGTAAGACATCATTGTCCCAAAACTCCCGTCATTCTCGTTGGAACTAAATTGGATCTCCGTGACGATAGGGAGACGTTGGAAAAACTAAAGGGGCACAAACTGGCTCCCATCACTTACCCTCAGGTAGCTTTTTGTGTATTTTCTTATGTGTGTTTGTTTATTCTTTCGGGTTCTAATTTCGTCGCTCCACTGTTTGGTCATCCAACTCGGATTGCGTCAGGCGTGTGTGCTTTATTTATTTGTGCTAGTTGTCGTGTGGGTACATCGACAGATGCTTAAAAAAGGCCTTGCACTGCTTCAAGATTTCGAGAATGACTCCGCTTGTGGTTGGGAAAAAATGGACTTTCTGGTCGGGATGAAGTTGGCCAGTGTTAATCAGTAATTTACCCTATTTCTATCTTTTCATTCGTTGAACAAGGTCTAGCATTAACTACGATCTTTGGTACATTCCTTCACATCAAAGTCCAATGTATTTTAGCTTCATCATGTGATTATTATGTGGGGCTTTCGTGTTTTTACACGTTTTTGTAATTTCGTCACCTCTTATCAGCCCTTTTATCGCTTTTTAATCATTTATGGATCTTGTTATATATTGTTCAGCAGATGTAGTTACTTTTCGAAATTAAGTGATGAAATTATGTTTGTGGGTTGTTGTGTGGTATTCATTGTTAGTGTCATTTAATTGCTCTTTTCACTCTTGTCGATGTAAGATGTTTGGTAGCATATTTTTTTGTGAATTTGGCTCTTCACTTCTCCATGCAAACAGCCTCTTAGCATTAAGCTTTTAGAACCGTCAATAGAATTCATACAAGTGCTCTTTTTGATTTGGCGATCTGTCTTCATGTGTTTTCCCTTCCGGCCTGGTAATATACTCTGGCAAGTAGGACTGACGTCAACCCTTCCGACGCGGCTTTTTTAGCATTCATAGTCTGCTGTAGGCGCTACGATCTATTTCATCAAATGTAGTTCAGTTTTTTGCTTGGCCAGCTGAGAGTATTCCGTCTTCTCGGGTGTCACTGGGATTTCCATGTTATGCGTAGTTCAAGTTTTTGCTATTTGTGTCTGCTAAATTATTTCTGCATGCGACTTCAGAGCAACGCGTATTTGTTCTTTTGAGCGAGTGAGGTTGTCAAACTTCTCTATATTTGCTAGGAACTCTGCTCAATTTCATTTTTTCAGTTTGTTAGCCTCGCGGATTGTTGTTCCCATTGATGTTGGTTTTTGGAAGTAATGGCCCTTAATAAAACTACAATTCCGCGCCAAATTGTCTGATTCTTTAAATTTTCCACATTACTTTAGCATTTGCTCATTAATGCACCTGAAAGCTCAGGATATTAGATTGAAAAGCTTATTTGTACTATCATGTCATATTATTAAGGTTTCTGTAAGTGGCGGTTCCTTCTTAGATCAGCATGTGTTAGCGTGCGTCAGATGCCAGTTATCCAACCGGTTACGCACATGGCTAAGGTGCGCCTTAAGGGGGGTAATTGTCCCTGCATCATTTTTCTCTTGATTTTCGCTCTTTTTTGGTCACTACTGGAGCCGAACTTGTCTTCATCGTTTTCTCTGATTTCCTACCCTAAATTCAACCGTCCGGTTTCCAAGACATTGACTCGTTTTCGCGGATAAAACTACCGTTTTGCTATTTTATCAGAACCATGGTTAACTGGATTCCCGACCATCGTCACGCTTAATCTCCTTTGTACAGCCGATGGCTTGGGATTATACCTTTGCCTTGGAACTTGTAAAATAATCATGCTTTTTATGAAAACGCAAGGCGCTTCACATTTTGCTATCTGTTTTGCTTTCGGAGGGAAGGGTTAAGGCAAAATAGCTTTTGCTGTTCACAAGCGTATTTTTCTTCATAAAGGGAATCTGGTTTAATTTGGTTGTTTCAAGATTCCATTTTTTAAACTCTTACACCTTCGTTTTAAGAAAAAAAGAACTACAAAGGCTTCTTGTTCCATGTGCTGCTTTTCCGTATTTTTTCAATGGCATTGAAAGGTTGTAGCACTTTTTCGAAAATCTTGATGCTGAGTCAGAATTGCGGAGGGTGGGTACATCGTCCTTGCATGCTTGGTGACTCACATTCCAGTTGTTTGTGAAGCAGCTTACAAAACACGGACTTGAGTTTACTCATTCGCAAACAATCGCTCTGTCAAGACGGTGCTTTGGTAGGCGTTTGTTTCATATTTTAACGTTCGACGGTGCCACTTGCCTTGCCGCTTTTTTTCAAGTCACTAACACCTGGGAAGTCGTTCCAGTGACGACCTCTTTTCATCGTCGCCACTCCAACCACCTTTTTCCCGCCTTAGGGACTGGCTCTCGCTAAGGAGATCAATGCCATCCGCTATCTGGAATGCTCCGCCCTCACCCAAACCGGCCTGAAAGCCGTCTTTGATGAGGCCATTCGGGCAGTTCTAATTCCACACACCAAGCTCAACAAACGCAGCTGCAGTCTTGTTTGAAGCGAACGTCCCCCTCCCGTTCTGCCCTTTTCCTCTCCATTTTCCCCGCTTCAAAAAGAAAATGAGGACAAAAGATGCTCCGTTCCGCCTCATGATTATCGATTTCTTGTCGGTTTTTGTCCACCTTATAACATCTTAACACATCTACACACGCCCCCTAGCCGCACATCCAGTTAAGTGAAAAGGAAAGAAACTGTGTACAGTATGCGCTTGAGCTCTATCCCGCCCTCGCTCCCTCTCTAGGTTATTCTTCCTTTATCTTCTCGGTGTGTTTTTCTCCCTCTCGCCCTCTTCGCGTGTGTTTGCGTTTCTCCGTCTCTTCTTCTCTTGGTTTTTTTTCCTTTTTTTTCTAAGCGGCTATTGTCTTACTCTCCCACTCGCCCACTTCACCCCACTTTGCCCTAGCTCCTCTTTTATTCTGACTGACTGAATGAATGAGGAACGAATGAGTGACTGAATCGAAGAAATTGTCGCTAGACGCATCTCTACGTCTCTCTCTCTCTTCTCAATGTGCTGGTATTGAATTTGATTGGACTTGCAGTGTTATTGGGGAAAGTTCTCACGTGGGACTCTCCCTTGATCTTTGATTGGCTGATATGCCGTGGTTTGAGGATTACTTGGCCGAAATTTTCTGATCCGCTGTCTTCGCTTTGAGCATGGAATCCATGGATACAATCTGGAATGGAGGGCTAGCATGAGCACAGACGCACTGCAGACGGTTAGAGCTTTTTCATGCACGCTTAATGCATCCACAGCATTTCTTATAGTCTCTATTCCTCTTTATGGTTGACTCTTGTTGTGATTTATGCAAGCACTTCACTCCACTGAACTGGAAGACCAGAGGCAAGAATATGTTTGACCTAGAGATGTTTTTGAAGTGTTGAATGCCTGGGTACACTGCGTTCCCCACCGGGAGGATTCCTCTGGAACAATGAGGTTTTTTACCAACTGCGTTCATTGGCAACGTCTTGAAGGTAGCATGGAAAGACTAGAGTGGTTCCAAACACCACCAGTAATGCCGATGGTTGAGTTGTTCTTGAAAGCGACAAGACAAGACATTGTGGACCTCTGTTATGGAGTCGTGACGGTTGGATTGCAGCAGACGGAAAGCGGCATCATAGATCGTTGTCGCCCTTCGTTTCGGCTCCTCCAGAATAGTCGTCCTCTATTGAAGAGATTCCATGCAGCCTTTCGATGCCTCGTTTAATGTGGTTTTTTGTATCCAGCATGAACCACAAAAGTGCGTCTGCCTACTTCTGCAGTACTTGTAATGTCCTCTACTCTGTTGCCACATCTTGAGCCGTCACCGAGGGTCTGTTGAATCTGGTGAATGTGATTTGAGCTTGTCGGTTTTACAATGGAGGGTTTAACTCGGTCTCAAGGTTGTAGAGATTCTTCGTACTCAAACTAGACGCGACTAGTCAGACAGTCGGGAGAGTCTATTACCTCAAAACTTAGTTATGAGAAGATGTGCATGGGAAGGAGTACCGTCTCATTCTCGCCTTCCACATTTCTCTAAGATGGTTCTTTGAAGGGGTTCGAATGAGTTGAGTTGGGTAAATGGAGTAAAGGTTGACAAGATCATGAAAACCGTCGAACGTCCGCTTCCACATCATACAAGGTAGGTGAACAGAAGCCGAGTCTTGCCGTAAGGCACATTAGCAACTCCTCCTCAATTTGAAACCTCACAACTCTCTTTAAGGTCTAGATATTCTGCCTCCCTGAATTAGGCATAGTGGATTGTAAAATCAGCTGCTTTCATCGTGACGAGGCGAGAGACGTCTTTGCCCTCAACCGGTGATAAGTGTGACGTCGTGGACAGGTTCAATCCAGACATTGTCAATCAAGTTTGTCTCACACGAACAAAGGCATAGGATCGGAAACCTTGGATGCTCGCATCCGGGTCGGAAGGGCTCACCTACAGGACGGTTGAAATTCAAAGGCGTCCGCACAACGGCTAGTGGCAATCCAGGCGAGGCCGTGGTGGTTCCTCTCTCAGACCACATCATAGCAGTCACTGAGCACGTAGGTCGACCGGTCAGGATGTATGGTCTGGCGCGTTCTGAATGGCCTGGTAATGGAGATTCAAGCTTTACCTACAAATGTTTCCAAGCTCCAGTGGAACACCTCTGGTAAATGAAATAATTTTCGATATCTCCGTGACCCCACCAGTGACAAATTGTGGTATGTGAATTGACTACTTTTTTTTACAACTTTGATCGGTAACTTGCACACGAATTTTGTGCACCGTTTGGTGAAAGGGTTCAAGGTACAAGTGACTTTCTTGAAGTAGGTCCTTCGCTTCCTCTGCTCCTTAATTTCGACGAATGTACACGTCAATCCAACTATCTGTCCGTCCATTGTACTTCCACTTGAAGGTGTTGACAAGTAGTCGATCATATCTTTCATTCGTTGACTCGTATCGGAGCATCTGGGTTTCAAGGCATTCGACCAGCATTCTTTCGCCTGTATTGAGGTACCTTCCCGTCAACGCTCTCCGCTGATTCGGTCAGGCGTCATCCGGCCGTCCATTTGACAGCCCGTCTAGCCGTTATTTCCAAATTTGATTCAACCATACATCCATCCATCCGCGCGGGATGGCTAGTCACCTGTCCGTTGGCTCTTCTTCCGCATTATGCATTCATCTGTCAAGTCGGAAATTGAATAGTTAGGTCTTTTGTCAAATTAAATAACAAGGGCATTCGACTAATCGCAGCCAAGTTCTCTCCTTCCATCGAATTTGCTATATCGTCAATCAGTCCTTCCGCTAAATCATCCTTCCTTGAGCCACTGCAGCTCTGTTTAACCATCGAAACGCAATTTTATTCACCGATTAATTGATCAACAAACTCGCATTCACTCATCTCTCCTCGACACATTTCTTCGTCCAAAATCAATATATCCACCCATCCATCCATTTATCCAACGTGTCTCCACAAATCCCGCCTTCATCCCCACTATCTCCGTCCTTGTACTGCCAATGCAAGAGCATGCATTCATCTATCTGAGAGCTATTTGTTTATCCCCTCCCGGTCCATCGACTCCGGGATTCATTCTTCGGCCGCTTGTCGTCTGTCCGTTCATCCATCCACCCTTCCATCTATTCCACAGTTATCTATTTGCCACCCCCTAATTTCTGCATCCACCTGCATCTGTGCCCATCCATCTCAGATCCGCTCATCCATTTCGTTTAACGGTTCAGGATACGTCCATTCGTCGATTCTTCTAGGAACAGTGGAAGGGTCTCTCTCCCACTTTCATCAAATCCTGCCTCCCCCAATGCCAGAAACGCGAGGCCTATGTAAGCCTGGCGTACCGATGCACACACACACCGACACAAATTGGCATAGGTTGGATGAGTCACCATGCCGACACAGTGCGGGTCCAAACGCTGGCAGCGTCACGTGATTGGTTAGACGAGGAGAAAAGGTGACATCACCAAATCGATTAGTTAAGTGGACATGGCAGCGCTGCCAGTTATTTGGCATTACTAATTGGGCACTTTCTGATATGAGGAAGGTGATTACACGATAAAAATTGTTTATTGAGTCAAATTATTAATTTAACAAAAGCGCAGCGTAACTAATTCTTGCATTAAAACTACGGATTTGTGTAACTTGAGTGGATGTTATTGTAGTGCCTCGGGATTCCCCTGAAGGCGATTGAAGATAACGTACTCGGGTAGGACATGTATTCTCAACATGCAGAAGAGCAAGGGGTTACTGGCATAACCCAGAAGTCAACCCATTCGGCGAATGTACAGTGGCGGAGAGCCAAAGTGGCCCCTTTACCAAAACCGATAGTTAAACAAGCAATTAACGTTTTACGTGGCTTCTCTCCTCTTTCGAATGTCGTCCTCGGTGAGTCTTTTGTTCAACGTCCCACAACGGCCATCACAACGATGCAATTGTCGCTGTAAGTTGACACTCACAAGCCAACCGTGCTAGTCATCGAATATCCATTCAACTGAGGCGACACTTAACCGCAGCGTCACTGATCCCTCTTGACAATCCCACTAGGTCTGGAGTTCCATCCTATATGGGACCTAGATTCGGGGACAAGGGAATGTGCTAACTACCATGCGTGCCCACAGCTAGTCGTAGGAACACTGGCCCAAAAGCAGAGTCATGTAACAAAGGACGGGTTTGAACAGAGTTTCGTGGAGGTGGGGTTTCTTTCCTATTTCTCCTTGCAACTTTGTTCTCATTTCAAAGCTGCCCATTCATATCAGTCTATCTGGGTTCCATCTTCATGCAGGTATGGTAGGCAATTCCATAATGAAACTGTTCCAAATGATTCGCGACTATTCGTGCTTCCTTTGTGCATAGCTTTTCTGCCGACCACGGGACTGGGGTAGTTGCCGAAGGTAGACATCATTTGCAGCCCTTCTGTCATGGCTGGTCACTGATCCTCCCATCCGCATCACGTGCACTTCCTCCGCTCCAGCGGTAGAAATCAGGATAACCACCGTTTTGGGGATCGGGTTCGCCCTACATTTGGGGCCCCGAGACCATCCTAACCATCGAAGGCACAATGATGGCGAATCAAAGTGGCTCTTTATCAAGAACGGGGGGTAAACAACCAACGTATTACAGTCATTGGTTCTCAAAATACCCATTTATACCCAACTGCCTTATGTTAACCTTGATTTGTTTATTTTTTCATTTGACCACCTAGTCGACCAGTCAGCGGTGTATTTAATTCAAATGTGACCAACGAAGAGCAAATCTGATTGGTTGAAGGCTACACCTGCTGCTTAAGTGCATTTGGTGCTGCAAAGTGGTGGTTGTGAGACGCTACCGAATAGTTCGGCTAGCCAAGACCACAACAATCGGTCAGCGCGTCCTTGTGACGTAAACAAGTCTACAACATGAAGGACTTAATCTCGTCTTCACGGCCTATTGCTTTGTCCCCTTTGGTAACCATTTGTAATCAGCCTGTCGTTCTGCCTTATGCGATTTAAGGCTTTTCAAACCGTGGCATCGTCGAACCGTCAAGTG